GGGGGGACTCATTCATCCTAACGCAACGCTTGAGAAATCAATTGTTCAACGGGCAAACAAAGGCCTAAGATGAGTCGAAAAGACTTAGAAATGACAGTTCGATCTTTGTCCTGATTGTTCTTCTTCATTTGAAACATAGGAACCTTAGAGCTAAAGGGCCTAGTTTGTCGCATAAAACTGCAGCCCCTTCACATCCAGCACAGACTTTACTGGGCACAGCGTCGCGTGTGAGGGCCAATGCTAAATCTACCCAGTTCTCGAGCCAAATGTACTTTTCTTTCAAAATCAAGCCCATGGACAAGTATTCATGCATGATAATGCACCTGCTCATAAGGCTGCTGTGACTAATCAATTTCTCAAAACTAGCAACATTCCTCTCCTGCACCCATGGCCAGCGCTTTTAACCAAATTCGAATCCAATTAAGCATTTGCTGGACATTTTAGATCGCGACATTCGGGCAATACCAGGCCAGCCCCGTACCCTTTGCTCAGTTAGATTAAGCCTTAATTGAAGAGTGGAATATCATCCCTCACTAGACAATAACTCGATTCATCCCGTCCATGCGTCGACGATGTGAAGATGTGACAACGTGAGGTGTCATCACACGTTACTGAAAGCTGTCACTTTTCATTTTGACCCTGACAACTATAAGTTAAAAATTGAAGATTAAAAACATTCTTAACTTTGCATCCCACGTATTTCCCTTGCTGTAAAACGACTGCACTGTCTTATCTGAAATTTTCAGATAGATTCGTTAAGTATTAATCAAATTATTGCCTTTAATATGAAGTGTGAAGTTAAAAATGTTAAAGAGTATAACATGAAAGAAGACTGAAAAAAGAACACCAACTCAAGGCACACCCTGTTCTTTAATTATCTATAATTATCTATAAAGTATAAGCAAATGCACGAGTGTATTCCTGTTGATAAGATGGGACAGCAAACGCGTTCACCTATCCGTTTAGTTTTTTTTCGCAAATGAATGCATACAAATATTGGAAATTGGAATCAGGGAATTTATATTGGTTAGTAAAAACAACTTTTGAACTGCCGAAAACTTTAAGGATCGCAGTACTAAATCCTTATCTGCTTAGTACCGAAATTGAGTCTGTTTGCATGATCTGTATATTTCACCC